AACATTTATTGCAAAATATGCATATATATATATATATATATATATATATATATATGCATATTTTGCAATAAATGTTAAATATCATCTTTAAAACTATTGTAGTTCTTCCGCTCATTAAATCCATTCTTGTACTTTCGTCTTTTTGTCTGATATTCAAATACTTGTTTTGCTTCAAATCAACGTTTGTAATGTTATGATTCACCTCGTAGCTGGTTTGTTTGGTTAATAGCTTATAACTCTTTAATGAAGAATTCTTTTTAAAGCCCTATGGGAAAAATGAATAGAACAAATACTTCAGGAAACTGGGCGGGAACTGTTGAAGTCTGTTGAAGTGGATTGCTATGCAATTGCTATGGTAAGCACTTTAGAAAGTACACCTCTACTCAACAAATTGCACAATAAGGTATATAGATGTCCATAGCACAACACAACAAAAAGTTTAATACTGTTCTTAAGCACTCATCTTAATAGCTCTCATACTGAAAGCAGAGAGGTTTTGCATAAGACAATCAAATGTCATTTACTCTGAGCATAAGCACAGAATTAAAAAATTTCCCCTTTGCCCCAAAAAAAATTTGCTACAGAAGTGAAAGTGCTCTTAAGCTCTCATTCATCATTTCCACAAAAAGTCTTGGCTGTTTCCGCTTGATAAGTTAATTGAGATGAAGTATTGATGGCTTGATAATGCATCAGTGTAGCCTCCTGTATCTCAAGAACAGAGATGCCAAAGAAAGCTGATTTTGCTGGTCTGTGCAATTATTTTCAGAGAAACACACGGCTAAAGAAGTTCCAGGCAGGGCTTGACAGCATTATATGTCCATATCACTTCGCCAAATTATTTAAATTTCAAAGGTCCTTACAGACAACAACAACAAAAGAACCAAAACCCACGACCCTACTGACTTTCATTGTATAGACAAACTTTTGACAGTTTTAAAATATCTCCTTTTCTGTTCCAGAGAAGAAATGCATTTCATTGATATGCAGGTGAGTAAATGATGACATTATTGTCATTTTTGTGTGAACAATCCCTTATTTCATAATGTTGTAGATCAAATTGCAGCCTGAGCTCATGATAAATTTTTGTTCTCTTTGTTCAGTGATCTGATAAGAAACCGAAACGAGGTCATAGTGATGTTCTCTATAAAGGCTGCTTTGTTGTGGATTACTTGTGTATTTCCTTGTTATTGTTTCGGTGTTGGAAAGAGATAATTGCTTTCTGAGAAACGCAGCTCAGTGAACTTTCCCATGCATCACCTTTTCTCACAGAACATTTGTCACTGCTGACCTTGATGATTGATGTAGAGGGTGAGTGAAGTAGGATGGGAATTGTTTGGAATTAATAATTCTAGTTCTTAATGATTCCATTAAAGATTCTTTTAGTGCTTTTGCAGAAGCACACACCTTAACTGTATGTACTAAACACTAGGGTTGGGTACCGAACTCGGTACTTTTAAGGGTACCGACCGAATTGATTCGGTACTACCGAATACCGATTCACGTTAAATCAATCCGTGCCAAATTTCGGTACCTGACCAAAAACGGAATTTACTCTATAGCGCGGAATGCCACAGAATTCGTCAATTTTGGACGAATAAATCAAAAGTAGGTCTGCCACTTAACTCGAATCACGATATGAACTATTGTCTGTGAATATTAAAATGCAAAAAGACGGTTTAAATATGAATCCTGCATGTTCCGCTTGCCTCTGTATGTATGAATGGCGGAAACACGGTTTTGTTTACGAAACAAATACTGAAGAACGCGTGACGCTCGCGGTGATTTTCAGCCTCTGTGTCTCACTATATGACAGCATGAACACAAAAACTTAATACCCAGAGCTGCTGTGAGAGTCACTTCGCGAGAATTTTACC